CCGTTTAGCGCTCACCCGGGAATCTGCAGCGTGTCCCCGAAGCGTTTTCCGGTACGTTTCCCAATATGTGTGTCGCAAATCTTTGCGCATCTCTTGCGCAATTTTTGTTGGACTGGTGCGCAGGTCGCCCTCTAGGCTTGCAAGTTTGCCGGGCATCCTGGCAAGCTTCTCTGCAAGCGTCTCTCTGAGGTTTGCAGGCTGTTTGGATTGTGCTTGCGGTGCGCCAGGCTGTTTTGCCAGTTGGGTTTGGGGTTGGGATTGCTTCAGTTCCCGGATAGCTTCCTGATCGAGAGGTAGCCAGATTTTAGATTTGTGTCGTCTAAACGCAGTTGGCCGCGCGGGAGAAGTAATCCGAGCAGCCGGAAAATTTGCAGGAGACGTTCGCAAGGAAGTTTGAGAGGATATCCGCCGAGCTGCGCACGAGCTCAAATCTTATGTTCGGGAGTTGCGCGCCAGCTCAGGACACGCTTTCCAGAAGCTGCGTAAAGGCTTGCGGCGCGCGGATTCAGAGCGAGTGCAAGAACGCTTGCTGGACGCTGCGAGGCCCAGCAAGTTGCTGCGAGGACGCCTGCCCGGCAGCCGTTGAGAGCAACCTGGCCTACCCTTGCTTGTCGGCTTCGTTTCTAAAGCCCTATTTAGCTCACAAGGAGATATCCAGGAACTGGACGCCGGTTGTAAAGAGTCAACCTGACTTCCGCCAGGGACCTCGTAGAGCTCACGCGCGCACTAGCCACGTCGCTCTTGAACCAGTGTGAACGTGCATGCGCGCGTGGACCTGGATGCGTTTGTGTGTGTGCAAATGAGATGATTCGGATGAACACGCAAACATGATTAACATCGCAAGGCGAAAATCCAGCCCTCCACCAGGCGGAAGCCCCTCGCCCAGCTTGCGCTCTGGAGGAAGCAGGCACCGTCTCGCCACGGGGCCGGCCCCCCTCCGCTCCAGCCACCCCGCCCTCGCAGAAGGCCAACGGAGCGAAGAAAAGAGAGGGGGGGGGGAAGAGGCGCGAACCTCGCGCCAGCTGGCGCAACTCAGCCAGGTCGTCGGCTCTGTCTCATTCGAAACCACGCGTCACTACATCGGCGCCGCCGCCAAGCGAAGCTCCGGCTCTCCACCAGCCGCAACCCCTCTCGTTGCGCCAGCGCTCCAGAGGGGGGAGGCACCGCCCCACCATGGGGACAGGCGCCCCCGCCGTTCCAGCCACTCGCTGAATGCCACCGGATAGAGCAGGAGGTACGGGAGAAGGGGCTCGAACCTCCCTTCGCCTTGCTGGCACAACTCAGCCGTGCTGCCATGCTTCACCCTGCTGGCGCAACTCAGCCAGGTCGTCGACTCTGTCCATGCCGGAAAGTTCACCACTCGATCGGCACCACCACGCGAAGATTCCGTCTCTCCACCCGGCGCGCCCTCCTCGACCCGCTGTCGCTCCAGAGAGGGATGGCCGAATCAATGAGTGCCGTGGATGGGGCATTTGGCGCCAGTGAAATTTCAGCCTCGTCTCCTCTCCGTGGGCCAGAGACTGGGCGCATCTTCATTCAAGAAGACAGGCTTCTGGAAGTGTGAGTTGCTCATGCCATTACGTCCCCCAGGTTTTCCGGAAGTGGGTGTGTTTGCTCGCGTTTGTGTTTGTTCGCTTGTTTGCCTGCATGTTGTACCGCCTGCATAGTTGCGTACAGTGTTGTTGCTTGTATATTTTTTCATGTTTTGCGTATGGTGTCACGTGCCAACTTGCTTTGAGGTGTTGTTTTTGTATGCTGCTAAGTCCCCATATCGGGGTTGCTGCAAGTCTTGCACATGCATGCCTACCTGTATCCATGTTCCGAAGGTTATGTTTCCAATGTTCTGTGTGCCGTTGTTTGTTTTCGTTGTTGCCTGCTCGTTTCTGTACTAACTTGCAAGCGTGCATGTGCGCCTGCTTGCGCTTGTTCGTTTGTCTCTTGACATTGTAAATGCTAAGACGGGCGGTCGTTGACACGCTTGCATGTAACGTCATTGTTAATCAATGCCGTCATGCATGTCACCCTTGCAAAACACATGTAGGTGTGCTTCTTTGCGTGCTTGTTTGTCACCGTGTTTGTCGTTTAGATCGTCGTTGTATGTGCATGGTTAGCTGTTTGCAGCATTGCCAGCTTGTTCGCCTGGAAACTGCGTCAATGCATGGTTCAGTGCGTGCGTTTCACCGCGCGCGTGGATGAGGTGTTGAAGCGCGCCAGAGCCTTTGGCAGCCTGGGCCTCCAAACAATGTACCCGAGCGTTTCTAGTTAAGGGAGATGCCAAGAGCCATTATCTGGCGGCTGACTACTCGCTTTACCGTATTATTACATGCGGTCTGAGCAGTAGTCGAGTGTTTGGCCAGTTCATTACGTAGGAACGTCGAAGGGAATTCAAACATATGTATCCGTTGGAACACAACATCATGGCTCGCATTGGACATCCGTGTTCTCTTGTCGAGGTATTCCGATAGTCCAGATAGCTTGCGTTCTTAAGTGCCCGTGTTCTTACGTTCAGCTTCGTGTGCGCTTGTCAGGTAGTTCCTGTGCTCCTGTGTCTATGAACGTATCTGTTCGTGGACAGTGGGGGCTCATGCCACGGAACACCCTGCTTGCCTCCAGGGTGCCATGGGTTTCGATGGTTTTGCGATGGAAGGCGTGACGTTCCCACGCCAGGGGTCCATGGACGTCCTGGGGTCTCAGGGTTGGGTCTCTTGTGGAAGGGTTCTTGTGGACAGGTTTCCATTGTACTTGCGTTGATCCTGATGCTGCCATGCTCCTCTTGTTCCTCGTTGCTGTTCGCCCCGTTGAGGCGCCACAATTTAGCGTGGGGGCGGGCCGAGCCTCAAAGGGCACCGTCGCCGCCCTTCTGGCACGAGATCCAAAACCAAGCCTTGGACGGGAGGCGGACCCTCCTGGTCTTCATGGTTGGGTATTCCGTCTGTGTGTTGTTCGGCGGCGGGCGAGGGGGGGGGGAAAGTGAGAAGGGGCGGGCCTTCTCAGAGCGCTCGGGAGTCCCAGGCTTTCTGAGAAGTTGCCCAAGCCTTCCCCGAAGACACCAACACCTTCTCAGAAGGCGCGAGGGCGAGGGCTTCTGAGAAGCCCCGCCGCCTTCTGAGAGGGCCGCCTCCTTCTCGTTTCCCCCCTCGCTCGCCGCCGACGTGTGTTCTTCATGGTTGGGTAATGTTAGTATGTGAGTGTTGTTGGTTCTTGGTATCACCATGGGAGGCGCTGTCCTTCGGCGAAGGATGTCGTGTTCTCGGCCCACGTTTGCTTGGCCATGGTTCGGATGTAGTGCGACTAGTTGCGGAGTACGATGGGAATCATCACGCTGTGGCGCATCCGTGTGGATGCGGTGTTTGTGGGCCCAATTCTACAACGATCGTGCCAATATTACGGAACGCGCTCGCCGTTTATGCCGTTGCTTTTTTTGAGATTCAGTGTGGAAGGGACGCGAATGACAGCGAATTGTAACGCAGCTGTACTTGGCACATTCCGCGTTCAGATTCAAGAGCCGCTCTGCAACGAAGCCTTTTTGGCTCGACAGTTTTAGCCTAGATATTTTGTCGGCACCTGTTTTACTGTCTGCAATCGTACATCTCGTGCAGGCGAAATGCGCCCAAACCCAGTTGATATTTATATATATATATATACACACATACAGGTAGAGAGAGAGAGAGAGCGAGATTTGATTCATTCGCAGTTTGATACCACTTGGTGATGCTGCTGTTGTAGCAAACGATCAAGCTTGCATGATGCATCAAGCACAGGTGACGGCATTGCCTACCTTATCGTTGCTTTTGATGTCATTTCTTCGGGGGAGCAGGAATACAGCAGCAACGAAGAGCACGGAGTGATAATACCCTTGTATTGCACCGCAGGTCCTTTCTCATGGTGTCTTATTCAATTGTATCATTGATGGTTGCTCGCCGCTAGCGAGAGTGAGAAGGAGGAAGAGGGGGAGGGGTAGGAGGAGGAGGAGGAAGAGGCCTCTCGACGGCTTCCTGAGGCATTATTGGGGTCACATTGGGTCGTGGACAGGACGCTTCTTGGGGGTTCTTGGGAGGCCTGTCGGCGTCCTTTTGGTGATATGTTTGGGATCTCTTGTGGCGTCTTGGGAGTCTCGGGGCCTCTCGGGGGGGATCTTTCGTGCCTTTGGGGGCCCCTTGGGAGCCTCCGGGGGGCCTGCTCCTGCTGGCGGTCTAGGGGGCTATCTTTCGGGGAAGAATGGTTCGACAGTGGGGCCCTCTTTGGAGCCTCTGCAGCTCTCTTGGGAGTCTTCTTGGGCCGTCTTAGGGCCGTCTTGGGGCTGCCCTTGTCCTGGGAGCCTATTGGTCTGACTTGGGACGATCTTGGCGGCTTCTTGGGCTGTCTTGGGCGGTCGTAGGCCCGAAAAGGCGGTGACTTCGGAATCCTTCCAAACCAAAAGGGAAACACAGAAACACATCCCGATGTTATGGATCCTTTGGGAGCTCCCTTGAATTAGATGTACAATTCATTTGTTACCAGCGAGTTTAGCACGCCTCTGGTCCGTTGGGCCGGCGAATGTCTAAGTTGCACTGCTTGTAATACGGTATGGCTACGCGTCGCATTGTATGTCTCCGCTTGTTGTTCCCATGGCTGTGATTCCCTTGGTTTCATTGTGCTCAATCTCCTGCCGCTGTCCATACGTCCTTTCTATCGATTCCCGCATGCCGAATATCAGCCGCTTGAGTCTTTTGAGCCATCATTTATCATTCGCCTCGCGTTGTGGATGCTTCCGTCCTTGAGTCATCATCCGCATTTTCGGAGACCACGTTCCACGATCCACAAGTCGGCTACTCACAAATAGTCGAGGGGAAGAGGCGCCACCCAAGACGACAGGATGTGCTCCCCGACACCCCGCGCGTTGTGGGTGTTTGTGAGTAGCTGCCTCGCGAGCAGCCGCATGCGTTTGCCCAGATTTCAACCGTCGATCTTCCCGCGCTGTCCTTGACGGCGTGCCAGGCACTTCAGTGTTTCCACTCGCGATGGGGCTTCAGACACATGAGCGGGGGGAGCCGTAACGCAGCGTCAGCATTTGCAAGCAGGAGGGGGAGGAGGAGCAGAAGGAGGGAACATGCTGGAAGAAGAGGAGGAAGAAGAGGCACGAGGAGGGAGGAAGAGGGAGGATGACGAGGTGAAGGAGGAAGGTGAAGGGAGATGCTTCAGTGTGAGAGCAGGTGGAGGAACGATGAGGATGGATTAAGATGAGAGGGAGGAGGAAATCGAGGAAGATGATGTTGATGACAATAAAGGTGATGCAGAGGAGGAGGGAGATGACGGTGTTGAAGATGGACATCTTAGGATGCGATACGGTGATATGACAGAGGCAGCAGGAACAGCAAGGGAGTTCGACATATTTAGAGCGGCGTCCTGAAATGACATTCGAGTGCCGTTTTTGTCAGGCACGGAAGAAGGTACGAGCAAGAGGGGGAGATATGAGGAACGAAGAAAGTAATGAAGTCAGGAATGGGGTGCAGGAAGATGGACGAGGAACGAGCGAACGAGCCCGCAATGCGACCGAAGGTGGCTCCAATAAAAGTGTCTCGGGGCACTGGCGTATGTCCCGTAAAAGGGTTCCCATGTTCGTGTCGTTGAAGGGGGGGAAGATGAAAAGACGTGGTATGGTGAACAAAACAAGGTCCTCCTCGTGTGACATCGGAAAGCCACGTCATGTTCTGAATCGTGCTCTCTCTTGTTTGAAAGCGAACAGCTCCACGTGGGAATTATCAATATGAGCACGCAGGCTCACAACGTTAGGCTTCTCGCACCTCCTTCTTGCCCACTCTCCTACTCTCCCAACTCCCTGATCCTCGCCGAGCATTCAATCAGCTCGCCTCCAGGCTTCCCATGCTCCCACCCGAATGCGTCCCCCTCGAGGCGCTTCCAGTGACGCTGGGGGGGGAGCTCGTGGGTCTGGCACTCAGGGCAGGGAGGAATGCCAGCAGATGACGGGGGAGAGGGAAGGAGGAAGGCAGGGAGAGGGGAGGAGGACAAAGCAGGAGCAGCAGGGCGGCGTAGGCGTGCTGACATGGGGAACTGAGGTATGTGCGACGGGCCCGTGTTTCTAGGGAGCTGGCGACCTGGGGCAGATTCTCTGCAAGATGGTCTGGGTGCGAACGATGCTGGGCCGCGAGTGGCAAGTAGTGCCAGGGCGGGGTGTCGCCCGATGATCAGAGAGGTGGAGGGGGGATCAGTGCCTGTTGTTATGCGGTGTCGCCGGCCGCAGGAGATCGAAATCTGTTTTTCCGCACTGCGGAGCGCGCTGCAGAAGGCGGAGGAGTCCTTGAAGGCGTGGCTAATTTTCATCGGTATGTGAATGCCTGTGTTTAAGCGTCCTGACTCTTGTTCTCCATCGTCCTATTCCAATACTCCTTGATCCCTGGTCATACTCCCCATGTTCTTCTGACTCTGGATGTCATGTTGGCTACTTGCTGAAGATTGCAGTAGAGGCAACGCGCCAGCTGTGCCCGAGGATCCACGAGTTATGGTAGATGTGGCGTATGACATTTCGAACCATTAATGCGCCTGCGAAATACGCGCGACAGCAGTCAATCTTCTGCAGAACTCGTTGGCATCCTGACTCTCACTTCCTAGCTGACGTTCAAACTTCAAGGCAGGCTGCAGGACATCTCCCCCCCGCGCCCGGCATTACGCTTCAAAGAGCAAGGTTTCCTCTGCGAGCCGGGGGGAGAGGAAGGGAGAGGACACGAAAGATGATGGGAGGAGATGCTCCCAGGAAGGTGGACATTGTGATTGGCCTGGGCGAGAGTTGGATGTACATGCGGCCAGAAGTATTTCCGGTGCTCGGTCCGTGTATGTATTCAGCGCGTGGTTCTCAGACGTTCATCATGTGAATCTCGGAGGAGGGCCAGTTTATACTACTGCGATTCTCCAGCTCGGCCCGCATCCGTTCAAAATCAGTCCCCCGATCCCTCCCGACCTTGATGCTGACATGTTTTCCGAGTCGGGTCCAGCCGTTGCGAGTAGGACGAGGAGGATGGAAGAGGAGGATCAAGGATCAAGGAGAAGGAGGAGGAGGATGATGGTGGCGTGGAGGAGGAGGAGGAGGAGGAGGAGGACGAGGACGAGGAGGAGGGAGGAGGAGAGGGAGAGGAGGAACGCATCGATTCAGGAGACTCGATGTTTGGTGGGGGTTAGGGCTAGGGTGTCGCCGCCTGCCCTCCTTGCCCTCCTCCTCCTCGCCCTCCTCCTCGCCCTCCTCGGGGCACCCTCCCGCCTCAGCGAGGCAGAGGGCCACCCTGAGCATGCGCCCGTGTGATCATAGATGATGCAGGGCGCGTGAGAGATCCACGCAGGGGAGCTCGAGACGCTATAGCTGCAGCTGGATATGCACCCCCGAGCGCAGAGCCGAGCCGAGCCGAGCCTCCTCCTCGCCCCCCTCTCCCCCTCCTCGCGCCCTGACCGAGGAGGGCGAAGCCTCACGCTGCCGCGCGCCTGCGGGCCGTGGGACGCCAGAGCTGCCCACCTCCCCTGGCGGGATTGCTGTGGGCAGCTCTCCTCTCGTGGCCCCCGCTCGGCGTCATGGGGGCTCCATGGCCTGGGGCTCCCTCGGCCACAAAAGGGGATCGAGCGGAGCCACGGGGCTCGGGGGCGCTTTCGGGCGCCACCCCGTGAATCGATCGAGAGTCCGGAAGCGTACTCGATCCCTCTCCGCGCCTCCCCTCCGCCCCTCCCCCCTTCAGGGGCCTCCCTCCCTCCTCCCCACCGATGCCGGATGTCTGCAAGTAGACTCAATCTGGATTGGTTATTCTGTCGGATGCAACAATCTGGATTCGAGAATTTCGATAAGTTCGACATCGTTCCCTTAAGGGGCGCGTGAGCCACGCGCTGCACGCGTTGTTGCACGTCCCGCCGCGGGGCGGCTGCGCGCTCAGCCTGAAGGCAGGACCGCCGCTTCGGCCTTGTTTTTCTTCTTCTTCTTCATCTTCTTCTTCTCCCCTCCCTCCTCCCAGAGGCCTTTTTTTTTCTTCCCCGCTCTCGCTTTCGTCTCTCGGAGGCCTCCTCGTCCACCCTCCTCTTTGCTCCTCCTGGAGGGCTGCAGGACCCCCTGCCCCCCCCGACACGGCGCTCCAGCCCCTCCACGCAGAACCTCGCCGCCAAGCACGAGGAAAAGCAAGAGAAGGACACCGCCAGCCTGAAGGCGCGGGCAGAGGCGGGGGCGGCCGCCGGAAGCAGGAGGGCGAACCATCACGACCTAGGAGGTGGAGGAGGAAAATGATGATGGTGAGCGGGGTGATGGTAGTGATGATGATGGTGATGTTGATGATGATGATCATCATCATGGGGAGTGTGATGATGATGATGATGATGATGATGATGATGATGGTGATGATGGTGGTGATGGTGATGGAGCTGATGATGATGGTGGTTATGGTGATGATGATGATGATGATGTCTATGATGACAATGAGGATGAGGATGGTGGTAGTGATGATGACGGCGCTGATGCTACTATTTATGATGACACTGGCGATATTGATGACGGTGGTGATCATGATGATAATAATAATGATGATGCCGATGTTGATGACGATGATGATGATGGTAGTGGCGATGATGAGGACATTGAGGGCAACTTTGATCCTGATAGTAGGGTGTTCATGGCGATGACGTTTCAAGATCATGTATCTGAGTGGCGTGGAGAAGGAAGGATGGGGATGAGTATGGTGGTCGTGATCATGCTGATGACTAGGATGATGATAATGATGATGATGCTGATGATGATGATGATGAGAATGATGATGATGATGATGATGATGATGATGATGATGATAATGATGATAATGATGATGCTCATGCTGGTGCTGATGATGATGACGATCACGGTTGTGATGATACTAATGATGGTGTTGATGATGGGATGATAGAGAAGATGTTGATGATGATGTTGTTGAGGATGATGGTGATGAGGTTGATGTTATTGGTTATGGTGATGGTGAGGCCGGTGATGATGATGATGATGATGATGATGATGATGATGATGATGATGATGATGGTGATGATGATGATGTTGTTAATGGTGGTGATGATGAGGAGGAGTATTCGGAGGAGGAGGCGGAGGAGGGAGAGGAGGAGGGGGAGGAGGAGTCCTGAGGGGCAGGAAGACGAAGTGGCGGAAGAGACGGATGTGGGAAGAGGGACAATCATGACGAGGAGAGGTCAGAGGATGAGGCTGGTATTGAGTATGATGATGTTGTTGATGATGATGATGATGATGATGAAGAGCATAATGATGTTGTTGACGATAATGATGGTGGTGGTGATGACGAGATGAAGGTGATTATGATAATAAGGATGATGATGAGTAATGATGTTGATCATCATCAGAATCATGATTATGATCATGACGACGATGGTTGTGGTGATGATGATTATGACGATGAGGATAACGATGTTGGTGGTGATGATGACGACGCTGATGCTGCTGGTGATGATGGTTATGATAATGATGATGGTGGTGATTCTGATGATAACAATGATGATGCCGATGCTGATGACGACGATGATGATGGCAGTGGCGATGATGAGGAGGAAGAGGGCAATACTGATGTTGATAGTAAGGTGCTCATGACGATTACGTTTCAAGCTAATGAAATGTATCGCCGCTGAGGAGGAAGGACGGGAATGATGATGGTCGCCGTGATCATGGTGATGATGGGGATGCTGTTGATGTTGATGGTGCTGATGATGATGATGATGATGACGGCGATGCTGATGATCATGACGATGATGCTGATGCTGATGATGTTGATGATGTTGCTGATGATGATGATGAAAATGATGATGCTACTGACAATGTTGATGCTGAAGATGATGCTGATGATGGTGATGATCATGATGATGACGACGATGATGATGATGATGATGATGATGATGATGATGATGATGCTGATGATGATGATGATTATGATGATGATTATGATGATGATGTTGGTTGTGATGATACCAATGAGGATGCTGACGTTGGTGAGGTTGATGATGTTGCTGATGATGAGTAGGAGGATGAGGAGGAGGAAGAGCAGGAGGAGGATGAGGAGGAGGAGGAGGATTCTACGCAGCCTCCGAGTGACCGCGCCTGCTAAGGGCGAATGACTCGAAGCGCTGCTGGCGCTGGGGAGCGCGACCGAATCAGTCGTCGGGGCCCCAGCGCCAGCGCCACTTCGAGGAAACGACCCCGCACAGGGTTGGAGTGACAGGGGTGCGACACGCAGCTGCCAGCGGCCACCGAACACCACGGGACGAGCTCGCGAGCCCGGTACCTGCTACCTCGCCCCGGAGTCCGGGCGGTGACACGACACCCACGCGGCACGGCACGGCGCACTTCACCAGGAGCCGAGATTTGGGCAGTGCATCCGCGAAGCGGTGGCCGAACCCCTCACGGTGGCAACGGGCAGGCGTGCGATGCCGCGATGCCCCCCCCCCCCCACCGGCCGCAGCCTGCCGATGAGCCGCGACGCCCCGAATGGACGAAGCCACAAATGGACCCCCGAAAGTCTGTTGAATCCTCCTGCACTCAAGCCCTGGTGAGTTTGAAAATTATGAGGAGCCTCGAGGAGGAGGAAGACGGAAGTGGAACGAGGGACAATCATGACGAGGAGAGTTGGAAGGATGAGGCGGATGCTGATGCTGATCATGCTGATGATGATGAGGAGGAGGAGGATAAGGAGGATTGTGATGATGAGGATGATGATGATGATGATGACGATGATGATGATGATGATTGGATGGTGATGGTGGTGGTGGTGGTGACATGATATTGATGATGACGATGGTCATGATGATGTTGATGATGGTGGTGATGATGCTGATGATGCTGATAGTGATGATGACATGATGATGACATGATGATGATGACGAGGATGAGGCGGAGGAGGATGATCACAGGAGGGTGGGAAGGAGGAGTATGATGGTATGATGAGGCGGCTGAGGAAAATGAGGCGGCTGAGGAGGAGTTTGATGCCAGCGTCTGCATGTCCGTCTTCCCGCGTTGTTCGGGCTTCGTGTCCCCCTGGTCACCTGGCTTTCTTGCCCACGCCGTTCTCGGGCTTTTTGCCCCCCCTGGTGCGCTGCGCGAGGCCCTCGCCCGCGTCTCCTCCCTTCCTTCTCCCCCCCTCCCCCCCGCCGGCGCCGCCGAGGCGACGGCGGCCAGCCAGTCTTTCGGCTGCGGCCTGTGGGCTGCCTGCGCTGCGCGGCAAGGCCCGGCGCTGGTGCGCTCAGGCGGTTGCTGTTCGGCAAGGTTGTCGGCACTTTCGTTGTCATTCCCCGTCGATGGCCATTTTGCCCTCGACCCCCCGGCGTCGCCCCGCGCTTCCCGCGGGTGCGTTCGCCCCCGAGTGGCAGCGTCATGGCCCCCGTCCTGGTGCACCCCTGCTTAAACTTGGTCGCATGGGTGCGCCCGAAAGCCGCCCGCAGCTCTCTGCGCCAGGTCCCGCCTCCTTCTGCGCCCTGGCGCGCCTGCGGCCATCGCTGCGTGCCCTGGTCAGCGGGGTCCTGCGCGAGAGTCGCCTGTCGGCTTCGTCCCAAGCCTGTTGGGTGGAACGCCCAGCACCGTTGCGCCTTTGCACGCGCGGGTTTGCTGCCCCTCCCCTAAGTTTGGAGGAATTCAGATTGGTCAGCTGCCCATTCGAGCTTTCGCTGTGGTGACGTCATCCGGCTAGTGGACGAAAAAAGTGTGAGCGCGCGTGGGCATGCGAGTGCTGGCCCGTGTGTGCATTCGTGCCCGTGTGTTCCAGTAAGTGTTTCTCCAAATCCGCCCAGCGTGTGGATAGCACGCGCTAGTGTCGTGCTGTTGCGCTGGGGCTTTGATTTGGCACCTTGAGACGTCTCGTTCCCGCTTCTCCTCCTCCCCCCTCCTCTTCCTCCTCTTCCTCCTCCTCTTCCTCGTTCTCCAACGCTTGCGCTCGCACGTGCCCTGGGTTCGTGCACGCGCGTGGGTGTGCTCGCACCCGGACAGAATGGGTTAGCTCATCAGACAAACTCGGGCCAGTTCCCAGGGGCGCCCGCAGCATTGTTTCCCCCGAGACCAGGTCCCTCGGAACAAGGCGCGCGCAGGGCAAGTGCCGAGGGCGGACCTCCATCTATCTGGGAGGTCTGTTGGGCATTCTGCATGAGCGCCCTTTCCTCATCCGGATTGCCGGCATCAATGTTTTGTCCCGAATATTTGGCATAGCAGAACAGGAGGCGAGTAGAAGAGGGGGGCACGGATAAGGCTGAGTAGGAGGGGCGTTTGAAAACGGGAGGGATGTGTAATAGCACGGTTGATGATGTGTTGATATGGATAACGACGATGATGATGGTCGGTTCGGCCGTTTCGGCCGCTGCGCGGCCGAAGCGGCCGGGCTTGTAAGAGCATGAGCGCCGCTCGTGGGAACACAGACCTGGGGCTGGCAGACCCGGGGTGAACTTTCTCCTTATGCCTTTTCATGAGGCTTCTGGAACGGAGCGGGCATGCCACGGCTGCTTTTTCGGTTGCGTTACGAAGCAAGCGAGCTTCTCGCAAGCCGCGTGCAGCGAGCCACGCCAGGGCCAGGCAAGCCGCGCTGCCGCCGCAGGACCTTTCCGATGCAGATTTTTCTGCATTGCATGTTTTTTTGTCCTGCACTGCAGTTTTTTTTGTTCTGCAGCAGTTTTGCGGGACATCTTAGAATCTGCAATGCAGATTTGCTTCTTTGCTTTGCAGTTTTTGTTTCTCGCACGCGTGGGTTCGTCCGGCCACGAGCCGCCCCTGTGGGATATTGGGTACGGTGTGGAAATCATGTTGAACGTCTGGGCTGGGCGCATGACAGGGCTCTTGGGCGTCAGGGCTTGCGCGCCCGAGACAGCTGCAAAATTCTAGGCCCCAGCCCCCGGTCAGCCGACCCCTGGTCAAGGGAGCCCCGAAGCGCCCCAGTTTGATATATCGAGTTGGGGTCGGTTACCGCAGTGATCGATGTCTTTATCGTATCCAGGGCATCTGCGATGATGATGATTGTGGCGATGATGGTAACGACGGTGTGATGAGTTTCGATGCGATGGGGATGGGGATGATGAGGATGGGGAAATATGGAGAGGAGGTGTGACACAGGCTTTTCTGTTCGACTGGCAAAGGACAATCACAGCTCCCAGGGGGGTCTATTTTCCTGGCCGTACAATTAGGCAGGGTGCTCATTCACCGAATCTGCTCATGGCCACGTCGAACCTTTCCGAAGTCGGCCCCCTTGCCCAGTCTGGGCGCATGAAGCAGTCTTCGACTGAGGTCTGGCGTTCCTCTTACCTTTTGATGCCACTTTGCCTCCACCCCCTGCCCGTCATGCTCCGCTCTCTTGCGTTTCTGACCGAGCGGCCCCCTTCTCGGCGTTAACGCGCAACGCAACGCTGGAACGCCAGGCCAGCGAGAAAGAAGCAAAGGCGGCCAAGGAGGCGCAGCGCGAGGCCGAGGATTGACCTCTTCTGGAGGGAGGGCATCAAATACCGCACACATGAGTACTGAACTCATTTCTTGTCCTCTTGTTCTTTTCATCACATGGGTTGAAGTATGGCCACCTCCAGCACAGCAAAGCAACTTGTCGAGTCTCTCCGCTGTCGGTCCTCTTGATGATCGGCTGCTGATGTGAAGTGCAGCTCCGCAGGTGTATTTCGGCGCTCAAGCTCACGCCCCGTGGACCTGAACGTCTGTCCGGATCTGGAGGTGCTGCCCTTAAGTCGGGCTTGTCCCTCCACAGGAGGAATGTTCAAAAATAGCATAAAAATAGTCTGGGGACAATCTTCTTGACAATTTCTGACTACTCTCGGATACTGCTTGATCGTTCTCTGTTTTTTGTCCAAACTCCCCCGGTAGGAGGACACGCCCGACCTAATGCTACCCGTGGCCCCTTCGCTGACCTTGGCTCGCAGGCTGGAACATGCGCTTTTCCTTGATCAGGGCCGTCTTCGAGCTACGGGGCAGGCCTCGGCGCGAGGCGGGCTGCGGACGGCACGCGTGGACGGCTCGCCGCCCCCCTCGGGCGCCCCGCGGGGACGCCGCTGGCGAAGAACGTGATGACGCGTCTGCCGACGCCGACGGCGACGGCGACGACGCACCGCCCATTTCGATCTCGCCGATCCGATTCGATGTCGAGTTTGACCATTTGACCGGCTCGATCCAGTTCGATTCCGACATTCCGACGGTCCGATGCGGCCCGACTTTTCTCGCGTGGCGTTGTTCTGCATCCGTGCGCGGCCGATCCGCCCTGACCTCGCGTGCAGTCCCATTCGATCCGATCTCCCGACTCCTTGGCATCGCTCCGACGCGCGCATCTTTTCTCGGCCAGGACCGTCGAGGAGCACTTTGGCGCTTCCTGCGATACAGTGCACGTGCGAGATCGAAAAATGCACGGGGAATGGGGTATGGATGATGAGCCTGCTTCCCACCACCCCCACCACCGTAAATTGGAGGGGGAGGGGGTCCTCCTCCTCCTCCTCCTCCTCCTCCTCCTCCACCTCCTCCACCTACTCCTACTCCACCTCCTCCTCCTCCTCCTCCTCCTCCTCCTCCTCCTCCTCCTCCTACTCCTCTTCGTCCTCCTCCTCCTCGTCCTCCTCCTCGTCCTCCACCTCCTTTCCCCCTCCAACTTCTGGTGGTGGTGGTGTTGGAAAACAGGCCCACCAATGGACGTCCGAGCGATGGCCAGCCGCGACGCCGACCGATGCTGCTGCGGCGGCGGCGGTCCCCGCGCCGTGCAGGAGCGCGACGAGCGCACGCAGGAGAAGCTGCAGCAGAAGCGCGACGAGGCGAGCGCACCGCGGCCGCTCCAGTGTGCGGGCCTCTCCGCGGGCTGCCCCCCTCGGCGGCTCGCAGACCGGGGTTTGCAGTCGGGCCGCTGGAGATGATGGGCCTGTTTTCCACCACCACCACCAGAGGTTGGAGGGGGGAAGGAGGTGGAGGACGAGGAGGACCATCATATGGCTGATGAGGGAGGCTAAGGGTTGGCCGACCCGACCCTAACCCAAAACCTCGTGGCACTGGGCCACCTAGGAGGAGGACGAGGAGGAGGAGGAGGAGGAAGATGAGGAGGAGGAGGAGGAGGACCCCCTCCCCCTCCAACTTATGGGGGTGGTGGAAAACAAGCCCATCAGAAGAAGGAACCCTTTGCGTTGGGGAGGGGCTTAGTGTTCCCTCATTGATTCGCAGCTTGTCTCGGGTTCTCTATGGGAGATCGAAGGTGATCTTTGGAAAGAAAGGCCGCAGCCAGAATGTGTCTCTCGCGGGGAAAACTGACTGAAGTGAACTGACTCGTCACACCCGTTACGCGACGGTGTTATTCTACGCCGCCAAGGGCACAATTTGTGGCGCAACCGATAGGAGACGGTTTTATCCTCGGCCGCTGAGGGCGCAACCTATTGCGCAACCGATAGGAGACAGTTGTATTATCGGCCTCCGAGGGCGCAACCTATGGCGCAACCAATCGGAGACAGTTGTATTCTCGGCCTCCGAGGGCGCAACCGATGGCTCAACCGATAGGAGACGGTTTTATTCTCGGCCGCCGAGGGCGCAACCATTGGCACAACCGATAGGAGACGGTTTTATGTTCGGCCGCCGAGGGCGCAACTTATGGCGCAACTTGGGTGCCAGGAGAAGGAGGATGAGCAGGAGGAGAAAGAGGAGAAACGAGGGCGAGGTCTTAGACGAGGGCGACGAAGCTGGAGCAGGAGGAAGACGAGGAGGATGAGGAAGAGGACGAGGACGAGGAGGGCGAGGACGACGACGATCAGGATGGGGAGGAGGACGGGGAGGAATACGAGTAGTACGAGGACGAAGTGTGGGCATTTGAATGCGTGCGGGGCTACGCCCGATTTATGCTCGCCGTTCGGTCGTCGTCCTCGTCTAAGACCTCGTCCTCGTTTCTCCTCTTCCTCCTCCTGCTCATCCTCCTTCTCCTGGCACCTAGGTTGCGCCATAGGATGCGCCTGCGGCGGCCGAGAATAAAACCATCTCCTACCAGCTGCGCCATATGTTGCGCCTGCGACCGCCGAGAAGAATAACGTCTCCTATCGGATGCGCCATAGGTTGCGCCTTCGGCGATCGAGAATGAAAAAACCGTCTCCTATCGTTTGCGCCATAGGTTGCCCCACCGGCGGCCGAAAAGAAATCCGTCTCCTATCGGTTGCGCCATCGGTTGCGCCTTCGGCGGCCAGGAATAGAACATTTTCCTATCGGTTGCGCCATAGGTTGCACCCCTTGCGGCCGAGAATAAAACCGTCTGCTATCGGTTGCGCCGTAGGTTGCCCCACCGGCGGCCGAAAAGAAATCCGTCTCCTATCGGTTGCGCCATCGGTTGCGCCTTCGGCGGCCAGGAATAGAACTTTTTCCTATCGGTTGCGCCATAGGTTGCACCCCTTGCGGCCGAGAATAAAACCGTCTGCTATCGGTTGCGCCGTAGGTTGCGCCCTCGGCGGCCGAGAATACAACCGTCTCCTATCGGTTGAGCCATAGGTTGCGCCCTTGGCGGCCGAGAATATAACCGTCTCCTATCGGTTGCGCCACAAGTTGCGCCCTCGGCGGCCGAGGATAAAACCGTCTCCTATAGGTTGCGCCATAAGTTGCGCCCTCGGCGGCCGAAAGCAAAGCCGTCTCCTATCGGTTGTGCCATAGATTGCGCCCTCATCGGCCGAGAATAAAACCGCCTCCCATCGGTTGCGCCACAGGTTACGCCCTCGGCCGCCGAGAATAAAACCGTCTCCCATCGGTTGCGCCACAAGTTGCGCCCTCGGCGGCCAAGAATCAAACCGTCCCCTATCGGTTGCGCCACAGGTTGCGCCCTTGGCGGCCTAGAATCAAATCGTCGCGTAGCGGGTGCGACCAGTCAGTTCAGTTCAGTCAGTTTACCCCGCGAGAAATAAGTTCGGGCTACGCCCGGAAAAAAATGCATACACAACAACTTTCGGGGTCTGCGCGGATTTCTTGGATCTGCGCTGGACCTCCTTGGCGACGTTTCCAGCGCCGCCCCTGGCGCGCTCCACGCGTTAAAAAGGGGGTCCAGCGAAGATCCAAGAACAAGACACCCGTGCTGATCTCCAAACAATATGTTTACGCTGGTTTTCGTTCCTACATGTTCTCCCTCCTGGGGGCCGTTTAGAGCAATGTTCCTCCAACCCCGCCTCTGTCCCCCCTCCCCCCCCTCCGGCGCGCGCCGCTGTTTTCTTTCGCGCGAACGAGGAGGACGAGAAGCAGGAGGAGGTGGGGGAGATAGACGAGGTGGAGGAGGAAGGGGAGGAGGATGAGGCGGGTAGGAACGGGCGAAGGAGGAGGATGGTGGTGGTTAGGAGGGGCATGCGGACGATGATTGTGATGGTGATGGTGATGGTGATCGTGTTGGCGATGGTGATGGTGATGGTGGTGATGATGATGATGTGGTGGTGATGGTGATGGTGATGGTGATGGTGATGGTGATGGTGATGGTGATGGTGATGGTGATGGTGATGGTGGTGATGGTGATGGTGATGATGATGATGATGATGATGATGGTGATGGTGATGGTAATGAAGATGGTGATGAAGATGGTGATGATGATGATCATGATCATGATGATGATGGTGATGATGCTGCTGGTGATGATGCTTCTGTTGGTGCTGCTTATGATGAAGATGAATAGGAGGACGACGACTATGGTAATGATGATAATGGTGATGATGACGACGACAACGATGATGATGATGATGATGATGATGGTGTTGGCAACCACGATAGCGATGACAACGATTGTGGTCATGTTGATGAGTGATGATTATGATGATGAGGAGAAGGATGGTTGAAGCGGTGTTGGTGGTATATGATGATAGTGACGTGATGAGGAGCAGGGGGAGTAGCAGCAGGAGCAGGTGCCGAAGGACGAGGAAGGATGACGAACAATGATGTAGAGCGTTGGGCTGTGCCATTCAAGGAAGAGTTTGCTTCGACGCGTCGGCTTGGCCCTCGACTTTCCCTTCCCGTCCCTGTCGTGGCCGTCGTCCTTTTGTTTGTTCTATTTCGGCTCCCTTTTTCCGACTACAGCTCCTGCCCTCTTCGCTCTGCTCTTCCCAGTCACTGGTCGTCGTCGTCTTCCCCTCTTCCTCCTCCTGCGACGGGAAAGAAGACAGGCAAACATGTTATATTGTGTGTTGCTGTCGAGGGCTGCCTCGCTATGGTGCCAGCAGCGAGAGCACCTTCAGATCTTCTTCCCACGTTTCCTCCCTGCCACGGTGGCAGCTGGTCCTCCTCCTCCCCCCTGTGCCGACGCTATTCGATACTGGGTAAAGGGACGAGCCCAGGGGACGCACGGGGCGCCACCAAAAATTATCCGAACTCGAAGAGCGCCCCTGAGAGGCCCTTCTCCAGTGAATGGCCTGGCGACAGTGGCTTAGGACCTTCTGCCCACACTCAGGGCAGGCACGGCCCTACCCAGGGAGGTAAGGCCGCATGTGCCTGGATGCCCATCCAGGCCGATAGGCGGGCACGGGCACCGGCATCCGTGCTGCTAGGCAGGCACGGGTATTCAGAGCCCCGAATCATCAGGGGTAACTCGGGTCAGGGATAACTCGGGTTCGTTTTTCGGGAATCCAAACCCGAGTTATCCCGGACCCGAGTTACCCCGGATAAATCGGGCGTCCAAGAGCCCCGAATCATCAGGGGTAACTCGGGTCAGGGATAACTCGGGTTCCTTTTTCGGGAATCCAAGCCCGAGTTACCCCGGACCCGAGTTATCCCGGATAACTCGGGCGCCCAAGGTATGGGCGACATTGCTGGCTGTCGTCGGGGATGGAAGAATGGCATAAACATACACACTCGGACCTGCGAGTTGTTATGTCCATGTCATGTTTTGTTTCCCTAATCGTGGTTCGCAGATTATGTGTGCTATCGTTAGGGGAAGGAAGAATGGCATAAACATAAAAACTCGGAGGTCCGCGCGGATTTCTCGGATCGGCGCTGGACCCCCCTCGCTGGCGCGCGGAGCGCGCCAGGGGCGGCGCCGGAGGCGCCGCCAGGGGGGTTAGCGTGGATCCGAGAAACCCGCGCGGACCTCCGAGTTTTTATGTCTATGTCATTATTTGGTTCCCTAATCGTGGTTCGTACCTTTCGTCGCGAGGCAGTTGACACAAGGACACAGCTCTGCGGCAAGGCCGGCAGTCCTGCACACGCTCACACTTCCTTGGCTCTCAACACTTCGTTTCTTGTGAGCATTGCTTGGGGTTGGTGCCAGTTTGTGAGCATTCGTTGACTACGCACGCCCTCACCCGTCGCCAGGCAGATGTTGAGTAGGGCCGAGCGCAGAGAGCGCCTTCTGCAGGACCACCAGAAACATACGTCAAGGTGGTAGAGCGCCTCGGCGATGAAGCCGACGAAGATGTGTAACATCCAGCCATCTGCTCATGTCCAAAGTTGCGGCTTGACGCCCAGTGTGATGCATCAGTTTCATCTTGACCGAACAGGTTGATTGCGCCCCTTGACGTCCGTTTGGGGTGCGGACCTACCCCCCAGCCCGCCGGAAAGGCTGGCGGTCCTGCGCGCCCTCACGTCGACTCGCTTCCAAGGTTCATCCTCTTTTGGGTGCAGTCTGGCGGCAGTAGCAACCATCGTTCGTCCGCAGACTATGCACGCCTACTTCCGTCGCGAGGCTGTTGCCTCAAGGACGCTGCCCGGCGGCAAAGCTGGCGGTCCTGCTCATTCGCACGTGTGTCCGACCACCAAAGTTTGTGTCCTTTTGGACAATGGCTGGCGGCAGTGCCACATGTCGTGCGCCCACAGATTATGCACA